TTCATTCCCAGGACAGAAAGTATACATTGCCCTGTGTGTCTCCCACGGCAAGCTGTAAGGTAGAATTAGGACCCAGCCAAGGATCCAGGCAGCTCACTGCCCCTTCGCATCGGAACAGGCCCAGCTACAATGGGAACAAAGATAGGGAGGTGAGAGCTACAAGCCTGGGGCCTCCTTACTAACTTATTTTTCTCTCACATTAATGCCTCATATTTAGAAACAAGTTAGTCACGCATTATTGCAAAAGGGATCAGAGAAAACAATTTTGATCTCTTGCCCTTTCCTATCCTAAGTTTGCTCTCTTGTGACATCCCTTTAGACCCCCCCGTGTGCATGTGTGCACACATACCCTTACCAGTTGCATACTGGGTCTCTCCCACAGCTTAACATCTCTGTCCTTTGAAGCTGTCACCAGCAATTCAGGCAGCACATGGAGGGCTGTGACAGAACCCGAGTGAATCTGAGAGAAGGGAGAGAGTAGTATAGTGAATTCTCTCAGTGGGCCCTCCTCAGTTAAGGAAGCATCAGTCTGCTGTGTCAGACCTAGAGACTCCTCCCATATACTTGTGACCCTTCCCTCAAACTCACCTTTCTACGTTGCCGCGTTGTTAGATGTATGGCTGGTGAACAGCTAATTATGCTGGTATCTAATTCCTGGCATAGAGATTCCTGGCACAGAGATGGGTCTGTCCCTTCAGTTTGGGTTTTGGGCATTTTTACTTCTTTTTGCCATATGTTACCTGTGGCCCATTCTCCTTCAGGGGTGCATTTGGCCAGGTTCCACAGCATCCCATCAGAGCTGGCACACAAAAATGAGGACTCTGCCATTTCAAGGGCAGAGTTAGAGCCAAGTCTTAGGCCTTGAAGGATCTACCAACCTTCCCTAGACCATCTCCAGGCTCCTTGGGTCCTCCCATCACCACTCACCAGATTCAGGTTTGGCCTGAGTTATGGATAGTAGGGTCCTAGTAGGATTCTCTAAATTCAGATTAAATTCCAGACTCACTTCAAACTTTCCTGATTCCTTTTGCGTCTGTGAAAGAATAGGTAATTTAGTTTAGCCCACCCATATCACTCAGCTCTCAGACAAAGTAACAGTTCTCTATTCTGGTCTGGTCAGGAAATTTTTTTTTTTTTCAAACCTTAACTTAGATATAGTAAAGTGTACAAATCTGAAATATACATTTCAATGAATTTTTACACATGCATATGTCCATGCAATCACCTCCTAAATCAAGATGTAGACCATTTCCATCACCCCAAAAAGTTGCCCTCATTCCCCTTCCCAGACAATACCAGACTACCACCCCAGAGCTAACAATATTCTGACTTCTGTCACCATAAATTAGTTTTCCTGTTCTTGAACTTCATTTAAATGAAATCATATAGTATGTACTCCTTTGTGTCTGTTTACATCTGTAAGGTATGTCTGCGTTGTTCCATTCATAAGCATTCAGTATCCTTTTTTTTTTTTTTTTTTTTTTTCATTTAGCATTTTGAAGATGTCACTCCATTATCTGACTTACATTGGCAGTGACTAGAAGACTGCTGCTATTGTATGTGTTCCTCGCATATAATGTTTCTTTTTTCTCTGCCTAACTTACAATTATATTTCCTCTTTTACCTTGGCTTTCAGATGTTTAAATATAAAATGTCTTTTTCTTTTAAATGAATTTATCCTGATTGGGATTCTCTGACGTCTTTCAGTATTTTTGGAAAATTCTCAGTCATTATCTCTTCAAATATTTCTTCTGTTCTTTCTCTCTTCTTCTCCTTCTGGGACTCAATCATATTTATGCTGGGTCAGCTGATATCATCTTACAGCTCTTGGACGCTTTGTTCTCATTTCTCACATTTTTTCATAGTGTTTGTTCACATAATTTCTACGGACCTAACTTTAAGATCACAGATTTTTTTTCCTTGGGTATACCCAAGCCTACTAACAAGCCAGTCCAGACAATTCGTTATCAATCATGTTTTTTTACTTCTAGCATTCCCATTGGATTTTTTGTTACAGTTTCAATCTCTCTCTACTTCTACATGTTGTCACCTTTTCCACTAGGTCAGTGATTGGCAAACTTTTTCTGTAAAAGGCCAGGTAGTAAATACTTTAAGCTTTGTGGGTCACAAATGTCTCTGTCACATATTCTTCTTTTTCTCTTTTTCTAAACAACCCTTTAAAAATGCAAAAAACCTTCTTAGTTCACAGGCTGTACAAAGACAAGTCGTGGGCTGGATTTGGCCCATGAATCACACTTTGTTGGCCTTTGTGCTAGATCTTTTAAATGTATTAATCATCACTAAAGTCCCTGTCTGATAGTCCCAACATCTGAGTCATCACTGAGTCTGGTTCTGTTGTCTCCTGACAGTAGGACTTTTCCTTGCTTTTTTATGTCTCATAATGTTTGGCTGAAAACGATTAAGAAAACTCCTAGGTTTATGGTTTCCCAAGGTTTTTTAAACAGTAGAATCCTTTTATATACCAATAAAATCTTACATGGAAACCCAATATATAATGCTCTAAAGTAGAGCTGCTCCGGTTGAAGGAGAGTAAGGGGATTTAGAGTCAATTGCCTTGCCCTCCTCTTTATCCTCCATTATGGGCCCCAAGGTTTTAAAAAAAACTATTCATAGGGGCTGGCTGGTTAGTTCCATTGGTTAGACCACAGCCTTACAGCGCTAAGATCATGGGTTCGGATTTCCATACCAGCCAGCCACCAAAAAAAGAAAAACAAAAAACTGGTCATAGACAAATGTTTGTTTTAACACACACCCAAACAGAACTTACCAAAAGAACTCCATGTTCCGTGGGCTGCAGGAAAAACACACCATATTCCTTGTGGGTGTACAGCATCATAGGATGACTTGTATAGGTGTTCCTGGTTTATCAGAAAGAAAAAGGCTGAGTCCAGGACTTAAAGAGAGAATTACCCTTCCTCAGTGTTTCCTTCTAAGTTAGACTCAACTTCAGAGTAACTACTAACCCACTTTTC